CCTCGGCTCTGCTTGCAGCAGGAGGTCAGAACTGCCTAACATGTTCCTCCCTCTGTTCTCTGTTTCCATTGCATCGTTATCTACGGCTCCACAGCACAAGCAGCAGCACTGTGCTGCTCAAACCCTCCTGTAACACAAGTCCCCTATTGATCCTCTGTAACATCCTTAGTGAGGAGGGGAAGGTAGGCTAGTTTGGGCCTACCTGTCAAGTTCACTCTGCCAGTCAGAGGAATCTAACGCTTCTTTGAAAAGACAGCCTCTTAGCTGGGTTTCCAGCTCTGAATTTACACTCCTAAGAGCAGTTTTTCTCTCCCTGACTTCCCAGGAGAGAAGGAGAAGACACTACCAGCTTGACAGACACGAGAGCTGCTCACCCGCAAGGAGAGTGTGTCTAACAGCAGCTCAGAGTCTAACAGCAACCAGCCCCGATTCAGCACAGTGCCTCCTCTGCCTGAACCCCTGCCCCTTTCCACTCTGACAGCGGATGCACCAGGACAGCCACTTCTGCACTTGCAAGTGCCACGACCTGAGCACAGACCATCCAACATCACCAGCACAGCCAACTCCATTCATGGCATCACTCCCGTTATCTTGCTCATGAATGAACGATAAATGGAAAAAAATCCTGAGTCAGAAACATGTAAGGGAGGAATGAACTAAAGTGAAAGAAAGGATGAAGGTGAACAAAAGCAACAAACACAGAATGAAGAGTGTGCAAAAAGAAATAAACAAGACATCTGAGCAGCTAATCCAAAAGAAAGAAAAGATGTAAGAAAGATAACGTGCCTCATTTAAAAAGCGTTAATGCATTGCCCCTGACTTTTTCAAAGTAACAAAATGATTTTCCCGCAACACTGGGCAGGCAGATTGGATAAAAGCTGCTCAGTACCCGAACAGTGCCCTAACAGCCCAGGCTACCTCTCTGCAGCCGTATTCCCTGGGCTGACAGATCCTGAAACCCTGGGGTAGGTCCCCAGCGACTCCTCACAGCTGGCTGCAGGGCAGGTTGTGAAAGCAGGTGCTCACAAGCAGAGGCTGGATCTTGCTGTGGGGTGCTTGACCACCATAAGTGGATCTTTCTGCGGTTGGATGCTTAAAATTGGTTACAGATGGGATTTACTCCTGTTACATAAAATATTTAAAGCTAGATGTCCAGCCTAAAGTAGCACAAAGAGAAAAACAGCACTCGAGAGGCCTGTGTCTCTCCATTGACTAAAGGAATTCATAAACTGAGAGATGACGCTGAACTTGGTGGTAGTTAACAATAGGTGGGATACATCCTCCTTGTAAAGATTGAAGCCTTGTCTGCAAGGGAAAATTACATACTGCATCTCCCTAAAAAAAAAAAAAAAAGCTTAGGGAGATTGAGCAGTTTAGTGTTTTCAAAGGATGTGTGCCAGTTGTAGTTAGATACTCTTGAAAATCCCCTACGCTCTCCCTTGTTCTTCTGGTTAGTGTGTATAATTACCTGTGAGTTATCCAGACACCTTTTCTGGGTTCCAAGAAAATCAATTAAAGTTTGAAAGATAGAGTAGGAGGATGAAAGGGAGAACACAATTTAAGGATGTTTAGGGGTTGGACAGCAGGTATGGGAAGCCAAAACAGCATACCAAAAGGCTTAAGCCTCTTACTATGTTTATCCCCACTCACCCCCCACCATGCCCATCAGAAGCTTTGCAAACAGCTTGATGCATCTCTGGAGTTTTGCATTTGCTAGGTAGGATCTTCATAGTGCCAAATGCCACTGTGCACTCCTGAGCTCGGTTGCCTGACTCCAGGAGCAGGCAGCAGTTGGCTTGTTTGTCATCCAGCACCGCTCCGATACCCATGGAAGCCAAAATAAGTTTGCAGAGCAGAGACTAATGGCTGGACTTACAGCTGAGTCTGGAGTTTGTAACCCGGGCAGCTCTACCCAGCCTCCAAATGCACAAGGGAGGCTGAGGCTTTTGTAGATGTTTTAAAAGCTGTCCTATTATTTATTCATGCGCTTGAGTTAATTCAACCTGGCTGCAATAGAAACAATGCTTACAATACACATTTCTAACACAAGTTTTCGCATCAAGCGAAAGCTAAACTAACACAGCAAGTGGCATCAATAATTGAAATTGCTTTCAGGGGGGGAGAGGATGGATCAGAGAGGCTCCAGGGTCAGGCCTGGGATGTGAAGGAGCAGAGATGTGTCCCCCTACACACAGGTTTGCTCCCTACAAGTGGTTAGTGTCTGTCCAAAGGCTACAGCCCGTCAATGGCCATTGTGCCTGCACATTTGAGCCTGCCCCAGCAGTGCCTGTTCTCCTTCCGCCCAAGGGACAGAAGAAGGGTCACTTGCACCACAAAAATGAGAGTGGAATAGGGCAAGTTGTGCAGAAGCTACATTAGGAACTATCCTGACTGCCAGATGCTCTCAGGGGAATACCACGCATCCTAATAAAGTGGGTAGATGTGGGGACTGCAAGACAAACATTGCCGACTCCATTCTCCCAGCCTGTGCCAGTGCTCCTGAGCTAGTCTGATATGGGAGTTGTTCTTTATTCACACCAGTGAAATGAGAACCAAACTAGGTCTTAGCCAGTTCTAAAATGCCAGAATGTCTTTGAGCTGCCTCATGCACACGCACAAGCAGCTCAGAAATAGTGACTAGCCCTCGAGCTATAGTGCACTGGAAAATGCCAGCACACTGCACAGCATTCCCAGTCCTCTTCTTCCTCCTGCAAAGACAGCAAAAACGTCCAGGGTGATAATCCTGGGTGAGGATTTCTACTGGCAATGCCTTGTTTCCATGAATGCTACACCACTGTGTGTGCAGTCATTGCCCAGACAGCTCTCACAAGCAGCTGATGAAAATTTGCTTGCAAAACCCACCAGCCATTTCTATCCGCAAGCTCAAAACTAATACACGAGAGAATAAAAGTAACTGCAAACAGCACAGATGCAACTAGCAGAATGCGTTTGGCAATCTTTCTGTCTTTTTTCCCTTCCTGTTGTAGAACATTCTGTGTATATTCTATGTCTACTTTTACCTTTGCCTTTAAGGAAGACAAGTCAGCAATTTATTGTGAAGAGGTTATGGCAGCAGGAATTGTTAGTGCAAGAACATTATCTGTTGCTTGGAGAGATCAGATACAGGTCTGAACCCAGAATTCAGACTATTCAGACTCAGTTGCTTAAAAACACAACCTCAACAACTTCTTACCTCTAAGCTTTGCTTTCTCCATCTGTAAATAGGACAGCAAGCGCAGTCCTTTATAGTACATTTGGCATGCTACACTGAGAGACACAGTGGAAACTGAGAGTAATGAGGATAATGGAGAAGGGGCACAGTTTAAAATGGCTCTCCTGCAACATCCAGAGACAATACAGACAACTACACAGCAGCACCTGGGCATTGAGGCTGGGAGGCAGACGACAACCTTTGTGAACCTGTTCACAGGAGCTGCTGACACATCTGTAGTCATACGTGAAATGGAAGAACATGACCATTTGCAGGGATCAAATTTAGGACTACAAAGAAATGCCAGGCCATTGCTATTGCAAGATCTCCCTGTCTGTGCAAAGGCAGGCTTTGGACTTCAGTACAGTATCTGTCAGGGGAAGCAAGCCCATGCATTGCTTGCTGGAAAAAAAAAGAAGCAATGAATGTTAATTGTAGCACTCAGCACAATGAGACTGGAGAAAACATGTCTCATTGCTGGCCAAATCAGTACCCATACAGAATACTAAAAATAGTGCTGGACCAAAGGTGAGGTACCCGCAGCAATAGGTAGCAGCAATTGCAGCAGGAATGGATTTTGAAATTTGGGCCCAAATTTGGCTGCTGAACTGGCGTCCTCCCCACATGGAGCACTGCATTTAGCTCTTGGGCCCCCAACATAAGGACGTGGACCTGTCGGAGCAAGTCCAGAGGAGGGCCACGTGTGCTGTGGCTCACAGGATTAGGCAGAGGCAGTGTACCACAGAGGCAGTGCTTTTTGTCATATAGAGAGCTGTGCTTTCTCCTTCTCCCTCATCTGAATGGCAAGAAGGAGATCAGGACCAAGCAGCAAATGAAGGCTCATCTTGGTTCCCCAGGGCTGTCTGCAGAAAGCATGTCATCTTGGACAATGCTCAGAAAAATGGGTTAAGATACTTTTCTTCCCAACGCTTCTATGCTTGTCCCATGATGCTCACAGCAGGGGGCTGACAAGTTAGCGATAGTTAGCAACATGGAAGGCAGAGCAATAGGCAGGCACTGAAGTAGCATGTATGGGTCTTAGGTGTTCCCAGGATTTTGCAGCCCAGACTGCAAGGCTTGAAAGAGAAGAGGTGTAGGCTGAGAGATGCATGGCTTATGTGAGCAGGAGAGGGTCACAGTGAATGAACTGAAGGGAACAATCCAGAAAAGACAGCCACTGAACAGAAGCAGGGAGGAAACCTGACATCTTGTTTGGAATGGGAATGCTCCCCAATGCCCAGTGACTTACAGACTAAACCATTAGTAGCAGGCCTCTTCATTAGCACCAACAGGACCAGCTCCTTGCTTATTTTCTCCATTGAGTGGCTGGAAAAATGGAAAATCCCACCCACTGCAGACCCAGACAGCAAGAGAGCCAGCCTTTGCTGTTTCTTGCTGGACTCACAGCAAGGAATAAATATTCTTCATCCTCTGCGTCTCTCAGCACTTTTCAGAAAGCATCAGAGGTGCTTTAACTGGATGGGGTGAGACTCCCGTCACAGAGCTCCCCAGCCACAAAACCTCCCAGCATCACTAGTCTTACCCCTGATGGTGCTGAGCTCCTGCTAGCAGATGGCAGGCCCTCTGGGAAGGAGAAACTGAAATGAAAGACTTGCTGATACAAAGGGGCAAACACATTGCTTGGAAATGCAATGAGGGGCACCAGACAGGGAGTGGGAATGGTGAAACTCCCACAGAGATGGAGGGGCTTGCTGGTGCAGCCAGGGACAAGGTGGGCTGGCGACTCCTTTATAGGGCAGGGAGGAGAGGAAGAGGCTTCCACACTTACTCCAGGACATCTCTGTTGAATTGTTTCTTGCTGTTGCCCAGGAACTCCCCAATCATCTGGCGGCTGAGGCCCTTCCTCTGGAGCAGGAAGTGTGCCACTCCTATGGGGGTATCCGGGATGAAGCCTCGGGAGATCAGGAACTGGATCCCTTTGTCTGGGTTTCTGAAAAGGAAGGACAGAGACATGGTGAGCTAGCAGGGCCTCTTTGAGGCATCATCTCATGACTTACAGCATTGCAGCCCTCAGTGTGTGCAAGGACCAGGGAGGGGAGCTGGGCACATGTCCCTTTGCTACTGTCTCAAGGAAGCTGGAGTTGCACCTTGTGTAGGGCAGATGAAGGTGAAGGAAAGCCTTAGAAGGCATTGCTGCCATGGGCAAACGAGGTTCAAGACACAGAGGGTGATAAGCAAAGGGGAGGGTACATTTTCTGTAACAAAAAATCATTTTCTTTTTCATACATTTTTACTGCTCAGCGTTGAGTGACACTTTCTGCTTTCCTCACTTGAAATCCCATGCTCATATTTGCATTATTTCTTCCTCTAGTCTTCCCCACCCTTAGCTGTGTTTTTCTTCCCTTCTCTATTGATTTGCCCCCTCAGGCAGAAATCTGTGCTTGTGTGTAGGTGGATGAGAGCATGCACCTGGAGAACGCCTTGTCAGAGCTGGGAGAGAGCTGTGCACAGCTCTCAGACTGAGGGCTTTTCTCCCTCACTGGCTGTGGGTGTCCCTCTCAGATCAGGCTGGGTGCTGAGTGGGCCCACCTGCCTGTCTGGGGGAGCTTTTCTGCTTGGTGGAGCGCCAGTCTCTGTGCCTGCCTCTCAGGGTGTAGCATGTCTCTACCAGAACACACATCCATGTGTGTGCGTGTCCCCTCTACATGCAGATTTCTCTCATACCATACATGTTCATAGGAGCCTGCTGTGTCCACACATTTTGTCTTTTTCCATATGTCTCCTATAAGGACACATGTTTCTATGTATCCTGGGAGTGACTGTGAGTCCATGAGGGTGCCTGTCCCACAGCACACACCAGAATGAGTGTAAGGGTGCATCATGCAGGGGGGTTTCTTCCTATACCTCAGTCTGTCCCACTGAAGGGCCTCAGTCATGGTGCACTATTTCTGAGGGGAATTAGTGCAATGCCTGGAGGATTTCCACATTCCTTTCATTCTCTGAGCTGGTGAGCGGGGAGAGGTAAGAGGGTAGCACCCTTATGAGATGGAAGAACGGATGACATACTTCCACCATTAACCCAAATTTAAGGATCTTTGTGAAGGCTCAAGGACTGAGTTTGCTTAGGCAGTTTCCTGGGGTGAGGAAAGGATAGGATGAGATCTCCGAGCACGTGAATGCATGATATGTGCAGGCACAGACTGTGACACTGTCAGGTGGTGAAGGATGTGGGTGAACAACATATGTCTAGCTATAAGGGGATCTGCACTCAGGAGAATGGCCTGCTCCCTACAGGGGCTTCATGGTTATACAAAAAGTAGTTGGGCTTAAAATAGTACTGCTTACTCTGTAATGTCACAAAAAATAATATCCTGCGCAGTGTGGCATCCTCAGGAGAAGTGTCTGGGAGAGCAAGTCAGCCCATTAAATTTACAAACAGGAGAGCTGCAAGATCCAATGTTGAAAAACCCAGCCCTTCTTCAAGGAAAAGCAGCAGGGTCCCTTCTGTATTGTCATACAGATCTCCTGGTTCACCTCTGAAGAGCACAGGCGAAGTTCTCTGCTAAGTGCAAGGGTTCGATGGACATGGTTGAGTCAAGCTCAGCAACACAGGTTCATAAAATGGACCTTCAAGTGCATACTTGAGTTTGGCAAGGATCAGTATAGTGTTCAAGGCAAGAGGATGTTCTCAGCTTCACCGGTGTGACTGCAAAGCCACTGGACTGACTTTTGATTCAGTCCAGAGGAAGCGGGAGCTGACTGTGGCTAGGAAAATGCAGCTCATACACTGGCATAGATATGAAGATTTCAGAAGGGATGGCACACACAAAGCAAGAGGATGTAAGATAAAACAGCCCAGCTCTGACAGCCCTCCTGCACTCCCCAGACTGTAACTCAAATATACATGAACACACGATTCTTTCACTAACAGCAGCCTTACATCAGCCTTTCCCCAAATTCAAGCTGTTCCCCACAAAATCCTGGTAGTGATACAGCACCTCTGCAACTAAACACCTGCAGATGTATCTCACACACTGCAGCGTGTGCCTTTTACCAGATGTGAAGCAAATAGCTTCATTTCCCCCCCCCCTGAGCTCCTTGCCATTTCCCTTCGTGTTGCAGGGGTGTTAAGCGCGGCCAGCCAATGCTGCGGGATTCCTCACGTCCTGCTGGCTTTCCCTCTGCCCACGCAGCCAGCTGCCCACACACGCTGAGTTACTGCAGCAGTGCTGCATAACAAGGCACTCTCCCTCCCAGGGAATCCACCCCCTCGCTGTGGAGGGGGCACGGGGAAAGTGCCACAGCAGTGCAGGCTCTCAGGGGCCTGCTCCGAAACAGAGCGCTGCTCACAGGAAACACTGTGTGAGGCCGGGGCTGTGGCAGAGGGATTGGGGTGCACTATAGTGTCACAAAGGGAGCCATATGTCCCTCAGCTTTCCACCCTTTCTCCCTCCCCTCCAACGTTTTGTCAGGATAACTGAGCCTCACAGGTTACTGGCACGTTATTTCAGCAGCTGGTTTCAAGGCGGCAGGGGAGGCCTGGCCAGAAAGTTGTGTTTTGTAGCTCTGCAGTGTTATTCAGTCTTTCATCCCACAGGGGCCTGCAACATGCAGTGAACCCAGGTCGCTGAATGAAGGAGGACAGCAAAGCCGCTTCCCCAAATGACCTGGTGTTGCTAATCTGTCACATGAATGTGTGCCAGGCAGGCTTCGGGAGGAGGAGTGGCTGGGAAAAGACATTTTCACTCCTGTTTTATCATCACATCAGTGCTCGTGTCAGCTCTGCAGGAACCAAAGAAAAGCACATTGGGTGCAGGAACTCCTGCCAAGCATGGCTGAAAATACTGAAACACATAGTTTGCAGAGATGTGAGCCCCGTGTCCACCTCCAGAAGGACTCCTATTCCAACACAAACACCACAACATCTGTGTGGGGCTGGAAATATCTCTATCATAATCAGCCCCCATCTGTCCCCAGTGCCTACCTTCTCTCATTCCAGCCTGCCTGCATTGTTTAGGCAAATCTGTGCACGGCCAGAGCCTGACTTTGATATATACACGTGAACCCACCTGTTCACAACCTAATCTCAGAGCTAGTAAAATGTTCTCCTCAGTATTCTCCCGAGCTCTCTATAAGACCCAAGTCTGTCCTTACACCATTTCAGCTCTGTATGTGCTCTGTGTCCAGCCCTCTCATCCAGATTCCTTCCTCCTGGAGTCCACAGCCTCCATCCTACACATATTTAATCCCTTTATTGCTTCTTGCCTGTACAAAACTTTTGTCTGTAACTGTGTAAACCTCTGTCCTTGCTCTGACAAAAAGGCCCATGGTACTGCGTGATAAAACATTTTGCTTGTATGTATGTGTTACATTCCCAGCACCTTCCTTGGGGGACTCAAATGGAAATGAAGACAGCATGAGATAAGGGTGTGATGATGGGGCAAAAAAACACTATTTCTCATGGTTTGGTTTGATGAGAAATGTCTCACTGAAAGACAAAGTGCAAATCTAAAGCTCCTTATTGGAGCTCAGCTGCTTTCTGCCAATCTACAATAGGCTATGTGTAACCCTTCGAGTTCACCTCTTCTGAATATACTCTTTGAGCTGCTCTGCTTTTGCTTTCACACCTACAGCCTTTTCATAGGATATCAGACTCAGATGTGTGAGAGACTGAGATGACTAAACCTGGTCTGTCAGGTGAAAAAAATCCACCCAAATATCAGAAGGAAAACAACAGCCAGAGCATTCATACTGGAATCATTAAGATCAGCTCTTTGTTTTTCCTTGGAAATGCCCCATTTTAAGAAACCGAGGCTGGTTTTACATCCCCAGCTATGCTTGTGGCTTTGCAACAGAATGGAGCAGGATGCCAAATGGACAGTAACTGAAGCAACTGAATGTAGGATGCCAATGGACAGCAACAGAAGGTTCTGAATTCAGGACAGCATGGAGCACTGGGCTTGTTCCCCTGTCAGGCAGAAGATCAGAACAGCACTGGGGAAAATTTAGGGAAAAAGCTACTGGGCAGCCACCATGTGGTCTGCATTGGATGCTGAGAGGGTCATGCCCTTGAATATGAAAGAACTTCCCCAGAGACAGACCTAGCCCAAGAGCCTGCCATCATCTATTCTTGTGAAGCATGAAGTAGTCTGGGAAACACAAAAGATGAAGAGTCACTTACATATTGAAGAGATTCAGCCCAATGCGGTAGAGGCGCTTCCTCATGGTGTCTGTGGAAAGCGTGGGGGACTTGCAGCTAGCTGGGTTCTCACAATGGTACCGTGGGAGGCTGAGGATCATGGCTTGCAGTGCTTCTTTTGAGGACACCTCAGAAGCTGATTTTGCTGAAGTGGAGGTGCTACTGCTGCTCAGCTGCTCTGAGTTGTCGGCATTCTCAGACTCGGAGCCTTTGCTTTGCCCTGTCTCGTTGTTAGCATCGAGCTGGAGCTTCTGCACTGCCATCTGCCCAGGCTCTGCACTGCTGTCTCCCGTGCCATTAGTGTTGACATTCACCTCGGTGAAAGTGTGGCTGTTCTGGAGAGTTCTGGACTCAGGTAAGCTCTCTGGGGCAGCCTGTGATTCACTGGTTTCTCCCTCCCCTTCTCCTGGGCTTTCTTCAGCCTTGGTGGCTTGAGAGATCCCAGCCTGGGCATTGCTGCTGAGGCAGTTTGCCATGGACACCGAGGTAGACGATGAGACAGAGATATTCTTGTTGTCAATCTGGACCGTGACATCTCGAAAAGCCATCATGAGAGTGCTGCTGCTCTTAGGCAGGGTATCTGGCAGGAGCCCTTCCTCTTTCTCCTTGTCTTGCAGCTCAGCTTCTAAGTCTTGGTTTGGCTGCATTGAGCTGGCACTGAAGGTCTCTCTTATCTGGTATGAGCCTCCATCTTGTAGCGAGCACATGGTCTTCAAGCTCCAAGTGCTAAGGGCATCATCAATAGACTTGGCCAGGGACTGAACTTGTTCCGTGAAGGAGTCCTCCAGCTCAGTCAGTGCCCCGCTGATTGTGGCTGGCAAAGATGGGGACCTCACCAATGGGATGCCCACGAAGTTGTACCCTTCTACTAGGGCTTTCTCAGCAGAGAAGCTCTCGGAGTTCTGGACCCGGACTTTCCTCAGGGATATGCGGCGTGGCATGCGGCTCTCCAGCAGTGAGTTGCGGATCTTCTCAAAGTTCTTGCTGAGCTGGTATTGCCGGAAAGCAGTTTGGATGGTGCAGGCTGCCCTGCGAGACACCAGGTGACCTCCGTATTTGTGCTCTAGCATTTCGATCTGAAAGACACACAAAGAAGAGAGTTTTTTTGTTAGTTGAGTTCTGATGGATTTCCATGACCCCACTTGCTACACTGATTTGTCTGTAATGACTGTCAGAGGAACTTCTAGTCTTGAACTAGCCTTTTCCTACATTGCTCTGCCCTTGATATCAACAGAAGGCCTCTGTTTAGACATGGCTGTTTCAAGCATCAGCATTGTGAACTTCCTCACAGCTGTACCATGATCATGTCCCCTCCTAGAGCACTACCTATATGAGCTAGAGCCTGGAAGTGCCCTTCCTTTGCATTCCCACTTCTGATGGTCTTTAGGGCAGGCTCATCACTGCAAATACACTATTCCAGCAATGTGTCTTCCTGCTCAACAGTGCTCTGTCAATGTCAAGCATCCCTTGTCTCAGAGTGCTACTATGCTCCTCCCATCCTTAGTCACCTTTGAAAATACTCCCAAAAGAAAGGAGAACCCATTCAGAAAAAAAAAAAGGAAAGAAAAGATGAATTCTAAAAGCAGAAAATATTGGCTTGATCATAGCAGCTAGCAAGAACCTTCAACTTCCACAGAAGTCAGTGGAAGTTGGGTTTGTTCTGTTTCTTTTAGCAGGCCCTCTGAACCCCAGAGTGTCTTCCCTTCTGATCTCTGAGTTTTTCAAGTGTTAACCAGAAGTGAAATGGAAACAACACAAGAACAGAAACACCCTCAGTTTTGAAAGGTAAGAAGTTCTGATTTTGAATGTTGAGACATGATACTAAGAACAACTGGTAGGAGGATTTACTCCTTCCAGAGCTGGTAATAACATATGCACATGTAAATACATATACATACAGCTAAGTGGCATCTGAACAGGCTTCAAAAAGCAAGTATATATGGTCATTTTTCTTTCATAGTCTAGTATTTGTACTTCCTGGGAATGCCTTCACTCTTATTTTTCTGCTGGGCCTTCACTAACAACTATAGGAGAATGTTTGCTGTCTTGGTTCCAAAGGAGTGACTGACAGTGGACACGGGTGGCAGTATGAAGATGATGGTGGATGATGAGATTGGAGAAAAAAGAAGGACGAATTCAAATTAACTTCACTGAGGCTTTGTCTGAACTATTAGTTGAACTCTACATTGTCTACACTTCATAGGGCAGGGCACAGGTGCAGACTGTAGTGTATATATGGTTGTGCACGTGTAGAAAAGACTGTAAAAGGAGAAGAGCAGGACTGAGATACTGGCAAACTCTGTCCTGAATTAACAGAGGATTCACTACACTGTTCGTGTGAAGAGTATCCCTATACACAGATACACACTGCTGCCCCTCAAGCTATGCCTTGCTGGCCCAGTATTCACAGGGTGAAGAAGGATTGAGCTCACAGAAGATCTGAGGTAAAGTGCAAACTACTTTTGTAGTCACAGCCAGAGTGAGACATGAGCCCCAGCTCTCAGAGTCATGTCATGTCATCTGCTTCCTTTTTCTTTTTTTTTTTTTTTTTTTTATAACACTATGTAAGTTGCAGATAAAATCACCAGTGAGTGGTCTGGATACAAGTGAGGGCCTGGAATGACAGCTGTGAGAAGTGCAAATCACCCCTGGCATCTTTCCAGTATTAATTCCCCTGCAAGTAGGGGAAGATGATAAGACTTCAGGAGATGACAGCAAGACAGGAATGACATGAGACCAGCCATTCTGCCCCTGTTCTGGCACCCTGGCTGCTGGAATAAGAATCAAAGTCTTTGCCCATTGGCACCCCGTCACCACAGGCAGCAATAGGTCTAGGGATCCTGTTACACTGGATGGGAGGCTGCCTTTTCATGGGCAGAGCAAGGGGATAATATCCTTTCATATTTCCCTCTGCAGAAGTGAAGAAGGGCCCCTTTGTCTTGCACTTCTGTTTTCTGTTTGCCTTCCTTCTGAATTCGTATCTGCCCAAAGGAAGGACCAAAGGCTAGCACTGACAAATACTAGCAATTTGCTTAGCAGTAGGGTCAGTCATGCAGTTGTAGAGGCATCTGGCTCAGATCTCTGTATACCCCTAAATAAAAAAATATTGGCATAGTATTTGCCCTACTGCCCTCCCAAAACATATCTACAGAACTGGCTCTAAAAAATCACCTACATGATGATCATGGATTCAGGTTCATTTACTGCAAGACCCATCAGTAAGTTTCTTTGGAAAACCAACATCTCCACTTATCCCCAGAGTCTGATGTAGCATGAAAGAGGAATGCAGGGACAAGAACTGATTCTCGGTAGTCAGCAGAAGCGTTTTGCTAAGTTCCCTGTCCCTAGTTCCAAAATAACCATCTGAAATCCCACCATCAATCCAGCACTCCTGCCACACCGCTTCAAAGCTGGCCTCCCTGAAAAGAGAGTGAGTTATCCCTTGGCCCTTTGTCTCCAGGAGGAAGCTTCATGTAAATAAATGCAAATTAAACCAGTAACCTGCACAGGCCCAACCCAGACATTTATTGCTGACAACTGACCATGAGCACTTAATATAATGGTCTGGTTAATCAAAATGTAGAGCTAATTGTGTTGGGAGGGAAAGAGGAACAAATGGGAGGGACAGACACAGCTATTTGAGGAACAGAATAATAGTAAGAGACAAAATAAAACAGAAGCAAGAGCCTTATAATTATCTGAGGTTTCCAAGGAGGTGACAGCCATTCTGAAAACGTGAAATTCATATGCTCTGATCTTATTAGAGGCCAAGACAAGAAGTCACTGCTGATCTGAAGTAAAAGGCCAGTTTTTCTCATGCAAGGACAGTTCCCAAAAAGGCAGATTTTAACAACTAAGAGGAGAGATCCTTCTAAAAATCTAAAGGAAAGGTGCAAGCTGTCAGTGCCTTGACAAAACTATCACAAGTTTTTTTGCAGTCCGTTATCTCAGTCTTCCCAAAGGACTAAGGCATTAAGGATCAGAACAACATGCAAAGTGAGAGGACTCCCAGCCCAGTCTGTTCTCCAGTTCATACCAGGAGTGCAAGGGCAGGTTCTGCATGTGGTGTGCTGCCATCCAGCCCTGGCCAAAGCAAGGGGCATCTTACAGTGTCTTGCAGCTGGCATAACTAAGTCCCAGGGACTGTTCTAAAGGATGCTTGAGATGACTGCCAAAGCCAGAAGCAGCACACCCATAAAGCAGTGCCCTCCTCACCTGTGCTCTGCAGGAATGGGTCTCTGTCTCGCTCCCCTTGATGCAGCCCAGCCATTTCTGGTTTACCGATGTCTGAGACATTCACATTTGCTACCAGGTCTAGCTAACTGACCCTCCAGAGGAATTAAGGATTTCACACAGCTGTTGGTCTGTTTTCCTTCTCTCAAGAGGAAGAAAGGGCATCCATTAGCACACCACAGCAGTCACAGGTAATGGAGATGTATGTCTGGCTTGCTGCAGGAAGCTTCCCTGCCCATTTGAGGGGCGAGAAAGGCCAGACATGATTGGCCTTCTCTCACTCCTAATAAACCCTATGAATCACAAGTAATTGCCTACTTAAAGCTACTCTTCTCTGGGGAATGATCCGACAGCCGGCGCCAAAGGAAGGGAAAAGCAAGAGGGGGGCAGGGGGATTTCAAAGAATAATTAGCTTAATACATTTCTGGGCCTCAACACGAACACTCAGTCTGAGCAATTCAAGCCTTGTGGCTGAATTATAAATGGCTGGGAAATATCCATTGCCACAAGAGATTGCACATGAAGGGAGCTTTAACAAGGTCAGCCTAAGGCAAGCTAAAGTGTCAGGCCTGGATGTGGCCAAACAGTTGAGGTACACACCCCATGGCTTTGCTGCCCATTGGCATAAATGCATAAGTCTGCCAGGAGAGAATGGGACTGATCTTCCTCTTGGTTGGCATCAGTTTTCCACCCAGGTTGCCACTGAACATGCCTACATGCCTCCATGTTAGCAATAAGAGAATCAGGCTTAGTGACAGAATCTGAGATGCTTGAGTAAATGTATGTACTGTCAAAAAAAGAAAAATATCTTGATGATATTTCTCTATCACCCTTTTTTAACACCCCCCCCCACCAAACACACACCAACACCAACCTCTCACAATGGAAGGACATTGCTATAAAGGTCATGTGCTAATGGGATGTTTTCCTTCATACATGAGACATCTGTCAGCCCTTCAGCACAGAAAGCTCATCTCTTCTGTGATTTCCATTTTACCAACAAAGCATAAACTTAGGAGAACTCTCAGCCCGCTGGTATAATCCTGGGGGACAATGACTGGTAGATGAACTGCACCTCCAAGCTGTGCAGAGGAGGCTTTATGCTGCCCTCCTTTCTTAGCAGCACTCAGTCCTCTCTAAAGAGCTAAATGTGACTTCAACTACACTGTGAGGCTAAAGATCTCTCCTTCCACCTGTTTATAATATATTAGTAGTACTTATAGGAAGAAAATTCATGCTGTGACTAGGGAACTACTGTCACTGTGCTGTGAGGGTCTTGTCATCCTTGTTCCTGTTCAAGAGAACTCCTCAACAAGTAAATTGATAGGAATACCTGTGAAAACACATACTACAGACTGCAAGACTGGAGGAATTAATACTTTTCTCTCCTTGGAAATCTCCCCTTCCAGAGCAGGAGGTAATCCACGGAGGACATCCATCAGGCTGGGGAAGCACATGTACTATAATCCCCCTTCGCTATGAGAAAAATGGTTCCACCTATGAGGCAGGCAAGGTCCCTGCAAGGTCAGTACTGCGAGGCAATGGAATTTAATGAACAAGCAGCTAACATGTCTCTCTGTCTCACATGCATCCAGGGCAGGTCTGGCCTCTGCTGCAACAACAGTGATGGGACAACGTGACCTTAAAGCTAAAATAACACAGGACACACACTCCCCAGGACAAATCGGAGCATCTCTAGGACATTGAGGAGGCTAAGCCCATATATAGCAGCCAAGATCTGGCCCACCCTGAGGATATGTCACATTAGTTTGTGAAGCCAGTTAATTAGTCTCCCTTGTTTCTTTTCCTGGTGTGAAGCAAAAATTCTGTTTGAGCTGGGTATGCAGTATCTGAGAAGGACAGAGCTAAAGAACTAAGGCCTCTTTTCTGCTCAGGAATTTAGTGAGCCAACGATCTGACATATCTGTTTTGGGACAGCAGCAATGCCTTGAGGGAAATGGCAGAGAGATGTCCCAGAAGCAGCAGTTTCTTCTGTGGGAACCTCATTAGCCAAGACCCTTCATCTGCAATAGCACAGCTCCCACTGAGTTCTCCCACTGAACATAATCTGGACAGTGTTGCTAGCACTTGCTTGTCCACTCCATCTCACATCCTGCAGGGTCTGCATATTAGACAGCCTCTGGTTGAGCTGCCATTCCAGGGAAAAGTCGGAAACAATTCTTTAAGTCTTGTTTTGTACAACAGCTCTCCTGGGCTGTAATCTGCAGAGACAAGGGGTGGTGAGGGCACATTCCACCTCATTGCCTTTGAGTGAAGAGGCCAGCTGCTATTAGCCCCTGTCCCACTATCCCTGGCTGAGAGCCCCATTGGGAAAGGCAGCTAGAGATAGTTGACTGTGCTCTGGAGCTAGGCTGTAGCCTCAGGCACAGGAGGAGAGGCTTGCAACTTCCAGGACTGAATGATTTTCTCTCAGCCTGGTAAACCTGCCTGTCTCTTCAGCACCCACCACTGGACTGAAGGATGTGAAGGTAGCGATACATTAACACTATGGTAGGTACTGTGCAGGACACTTAGGAATAAACCACACTCCCCCTAAGAGCTCATGCTTTGAAGAGGCTAACATGGAAGTGCACACGGGGCCTGCCCAGGGTGATCCAAGACAGCAAGTTGGCTCTTGGAGACTTCTCCTATGAGGGAGGTTTTTTGAGACAATCATTTGCTGGGAACCCTCCAGGTACCATGCACTTCTGTGCAGGCAGCATCTCTGGATGCCACAAGCCTTGTCTGCCTACAAGTCAACTCTAAACCTACAGTCACACCTGAGTACAATTTCGGACCACAGAACTCCGGCAATGAGGAGCAGAGCCCAGCAGGCTTGGGTGAAAGAAGTGTTGCAGCCAGAGGTGGTGAAGTTACTTCCTCCGTCAGCCCCATGCAGCCAAAGGGCCAGGCCTGCTCAGGCAGGGCAAAAGATCCGAGCGAACAGGAGGCTAAGGAATTTGCAGAAATACGGCACACCACGGTGTGAATGCAGTCCCACCCGCCCCATCCCCTTCTCCCACAGCCTGAGGAGGAAGCCTCTGTACCTGTTTATTCTTTAGGTCAAGGGAGAGCTCATAATCGGAGGCAGCTGCATGGGAACACGAGGCCGTCCCTTTGCTGCGCTGCACTCTCACTGGGGAGCCCGTGTGGTGGAGGCTCGCCTTCTGCACCAGAGGGGAACACCCCGCTGCCTGCTCTTCTTGGAGCTCCGCATGCTGGGCTTTTAGCGTCAAGGTGTCGGACCTGCCTTCCTGGCCACTCTGTCTGCCGGCCTCCTTCGGATCCTCCGTTTCACACCCGGCTTTCTTGCTTGTGGAACCGCTGGGATCGTCACTGTGAACAAAACGCAATGTATCTCTTTTTTATTTGTTTTTTGATTATTATTTGTATTATTATTACTTGTATTATTCGTGTTATTGTTCGCTATACTCTTTCACTGATCTGCATTTTCAATGCTTAGGGAGCCTGGGCTGCAAGGGGCATCTTTCAGGGACGGAGCAGGACTGTGCAGCGATTCCTCACTCCCTGAGAGCAAGAACACCAGTTCTGCACACACTGCAGCTGCCTGGCTGCTCAAGGTGCTGCAGGTGAAGGTGAGGGGCCAAAGAGGGTGTCACAGCTGAAGGACACCCCTCCTGCTCCCTGGAGCAGCTGACAGTCACCTCTGTGCCCTGCTGCCTACTGCTTGCTATCTCCCTGTGCACCCCAGAGGCTCATCTGTTACAGAGCCTGGATCCCAAGGATCCAGCTTTCCCCTGGAGCTTCTGTGGGCTTGTGAGAAACTGTGTGAGGATGGCTGAATGCTGCAGACTTTCCAGATAAACTCTGGAGAGCTGAGAGTATAACACTGCAGCAGAGCCAGCCAGCCAGCCCTAAGGTCCTGACTCTTTAAAGCAACTCTGTGACACTGCCATAGCAGGCTGCGGAGCTTCCATAAAAGAAGCCATTTCTTTCTGAGCCACAGGACAGATTGCTGTGCCACCGAGGTCTTGTGGAGAAAGCCAAACACCCTTTTCTCCTGTCAGCCACGGCAGTAATTGTATGGAACCAGGCTTGACAGCAGTGCACTTTAAGAGGGCTGACACGTTGCTCCGAACAGGACGGGATTAGCATATACCCCATCCATTGAAGTACCGAGGAAGTCTGTTGTTAACCTCTCTTGCCAAATGTTTTCTGAAATCATCCAATTTCAAACAAGGCTTTGGGGGGCTGCTTGAACTATGGGAGTGTGTGTTTGTTGCTATGTCAGTCTCCTTCCAGTGGCTACAGATGAATAATTTACGATTTCCCAGAGTGTGCAGGCCAGCCCGCATGAACTCTGGACTTTGCTGCACAGTGTACACCAGATACAGCTCCGTTGTTTTCCAAGGGAGCACTTAGTCGATAGCAACATTGAGTTTGGAAATAATTGCTGCAGAGCCAATGCATTTAATTCCATTGAAACCAAAGATGTGTACTGCCTCCCATATTTAAACACAATTACGTTATTCAATTCACTTCTGAATCATATTTCTTTCTCTTGGATTTGCTCCATATACGATCAGTTCTGCTGTCACCTAGATATCAAATCGTTTTATGATTGGTGTTGATGTCAGAGCAAAATCGGGGAAATTAGATATGATTTTCTGTAGTTCCCAAATTACTTAGAAGCATTTAAGACTCATTTGCAAAAGTGCTGTGAGCTCTTAAGAGCACAAGTCTTCTAAGTAGATTTTACCTCGTAAGCCTAGGAGCACTTCTGAATACTTACTTTAAAATGAAGTTTGTTATCTTCAATGGCAATTTAACAGTCAAATTTAGCAATATTCTACAAGGGCTCTATAAAGTTTCTATAAGGACTCTAAATGTGATGAGTCAAACACAGTACCACAACTTCAGAACTAAGAAAGTAGGATTAAAAACTATAAAGCTTCTCCTTTCATATGCACGCATGTAGTCACCAGTCAGACTTAAAAAATAAATTCAAATAAACCAATCTCTTACATTAATTCTACATAACCAACTTGGTCAAAGAGCATTAAGATGACATAGCTGTGCATTCATCAATCAGGAAATGTCTCCATTAAAATGAAGCACAAAACTGTCCTGTAGGTTTGTATACCTTATATTTTCCTGTTGTACTCCTGATACCATATAATTCAACATGTTTTTTTCTAAACCTGAAGATGTACGTGTAAATAACTCCCCATTTCTAACTCCTTCTGTTCTATGTCCAGCCACATTTTAAGAAACATTTATAAACTTTCGCCTTACAGTTCTCACTGTAATACCTTCCTTGGATGCCTCTGTTCTGTCTGCTCTCCTTTTAGCCAGCAGGGCAAAAATTTTTGCCCTCGGCTCAAGGGATGACCAGGTTAACATAGATTTGATCATGTTTTCTTTGAAATGCATGCCAAAACCCACAGAACTACTCTGGTGGGAACTGGATTGTATCCTACAAAGCAAGTTCAACTAGATTCACAAGCTCTGATTCAGCAAGACACGTACCCCAAATTGCTTTGCTGAGTCAAGGCCACAGTGCAGTGTGCTGTCTTAAGGGCAGGTCAGAGCCTGAGGCAGTGGACTAAAGAGTTAGCTGACTTGTCTGGGAGCATGAATGGACTGTAAATGCCAGCAAATATTCCCTGACATGATAGTCCTTTAAACACTCACATATGTGCTTAACTATATTTTTCTGAGAGCTTCCACTAACTGCTGTAAGACTACTCATGGTAGAACATGAAGTGTGTGCATAAGATTTTGCAGCATGCAGGCCCATTGCTCTGTAAAGCTGTACATCACCTCTGGTGTCATTGCTTTGTGGGGCTGTGTGTCACCTCCAGTGTATGCTGCCTGCTTGGTTTTCTGTCACACACAGTTTAGTCTGAGTAATATCCATAGAAACGGGATATCCTATATGCCCAGCTAATATAGAACAAACAGTGAGCTTTATAGAATCACAGAATAATCTGGGCTGGAAGAGACATGACATCTCTACTTCACTGTCTGCTCAAAATGGGTCCATTTTCAAAGACGTGTGGTTGATCTGGGCCTTCTCCAGTCAACTCTTGATCACCTCCGGAGAAGAACATTTCCCAGGCTCTTAGGAAAGCCTTGTCAGGGCTCTTAGTGCACTAGCAGACTTTAAAGGCCTGACCAGCCTCACCTGGTCCCCCACCAATATCCCCTGACCCAGGACCCCATTTCAGCCAGACCAGGGCCATCGGTCCCTACACTAGCAGCACCATAAGGGTGCTGGTCTCCAGCCCCACCACAGCTTTCCCTTTTCCACAGCCATGGAAATGCGTGATCTGGACTCTGACCTGGAGGCTGACTCCCTAGCCTGACCTTGGACCTGCCTCGTCACTGTGGACCTACCCAGAGATCACTGACTCTTGATACTTTCACCGACCTGATCCTTACCTTGCTCAACCAGGCAGAGGATGTCAGCCCAATCCAAAATTCTCAGAACCTCTTTAACACTCTTGGACCTCATTAGACCACCAAGGTATTCCTCAAGACAGAGGAGGGCCCTAAACTGCAACCACTGAGTGCCTGCATTCGGTTAGAAATGCGTGAGAAGCACCACCAACCTCAGTGCTCCCACGTACAACGCATAGCTGAAGCAACCCCCTGAAGACACTTGGCTAAGATAAGAATGTAAGCTAACCACACGTACACATATAACCTTGTCTTCCTCTTCCATGCATGCGCTGAGCCCGGTGAATACACCCATACAGAATGCACTGCACTTATGTGTGGAATTTTCTGAGGGTCAAAACTCGGTCAAATCAAAATCAGATTCCACTGAAGCACTCAAAGGCATTTTTCAGCTAGATATTTTTATGCTAACTATAAACTTTTTAACCCCCTGCTGGTTTGGCTGTTGTGCTGTTCAGAAAGAAATAGCAAATACTCATGCTGAAGTGGGAATACTGTCTACATGCTTTTTTGTGAAAAAATGGCTGAACCATTTTTATTTAGTGGGGGAAAAAAAAGCTCCAAAGAAACAGACAATCCTACTTCACCTTCAGGTAAGAGACCAAACCTGGGAAATTTCAGCTTGATCTGGGAAACTTCAGTGACTTACAAGAAACGGATTTTGTTTAGCTGCCTGAATGTTAGCATGTTAACAGCAATGGATGAGGCCCCATATGGGAGAGACAAAACACATTTCTAAATATCCAAACAAATACTGCAGTGAAATCCAGGCTAAAACCTTAATGATCCGGATTTTTTGACACTGTCCTGAGTGACACAGTTAAATTGCACTGGTATATAAGTTTTTATTAACGAGTAAAGGCTTAGATGCTATTGAAATCATAGTAACAACAACAACAAAGATAAGAGTAAGAAACATAAATAACGACAGACACTACAGTATGGAAAAAATGTTATTAAGCAAATTATGGGTATATAGCTACTTTCCCCTGCCCAGTGAGCAATCAAATGTTCTAGCCGTGTGATGAAGGAGAGGAATGGTCCTATTGCACATTTGGTTTCTTGGATTAGAATTTTTTTCTAACCACTTGTAATAATTAAAAATCCCACGCAGAGTCTAAGGTGTGAATCCCAATGTCCTGGCCAAACTCCAGCTAGGTTAATTTAGTTCTGTATCCCAGCATTACCCCTGCAGTTTCAACTGTAATCAGTGTTCTTTACTTGCTGTCCTAAAGTATCATATACCACTGTCTTCCACATTTTTACAGCTACTCTTGCATGATAAATGAACCAATTTTCTGTGCATCATGCAATCAGGTAGGGAAGATTTGTAATGTCTTTGAATTCTGTTTGATCAAAAGTGGAAATATTAATGTAAATCACTTGCAATCAGATAAAAAAGGAAGACTAAAATTCAGCTGTTCTCTGCTTCCTGAATGTTCCTCTATGACTTTTGTGACCCACAGCAACTAGCTTAGTCATTATTACAAATAGATTTCATCGGCTGCAGAAAATCTCTCATTTGTTTCAGGTATCCCCTCCTCCCTTTACACTGCTGACGTGTATACTCCTGATGCAGATGGAGACCAGTTTTGTTAACAAAGATGGTGACTACAGACAATATGATTCAGGTCTTAAATGAAATGGAACAGCTAGTCTAGCATAAACCACATTTCAAAACAGGGATATGAGGGTTTTGGAATGAATCTTCTTTCAAGAAAACAGGATTGTGAAAAAGCTCTCACCGAGACAATTCAGCTGAGCACCCATACATATTTTTGTCAGTGTCTAGAACAGGTAAATGAAACTACTGGAATTTGGCTTCTAAGTACAGATTTCTCAGAAATGTTTCCTATAATGAATACACCAAGAGACAAATGTATCATCACAGAGGGATGATAGATGAAAAATCA